TTAACGAATTTATTACGACTCACTTACCAGCAGCGGATTGCTCTATAATAACGTGAATGTGTTTTTTGGGCAGGAAAGAAAAAGCACAAGATTAAATAAGTATTCGGTATTAGAAGACGAAAAAAAATACACTATATATCACGTTGACTAAACTTGTTATAAATGAAAAAGTAAACACCGGCTTAGTATAAATAGAAGAATTGTTACATTACTATGTCTACTCTACCCTACGTACACACTACTCTATGTCCCAACGCCAGAATAGTAACTGCTTCTGCTTTCTGAACAGGGTTCCTACTAAAATACCTACGCAAGGCCGTCTTTTCGTCTTTCGTAAGCGAAATTTTCGAGTACAGTTCCATACTGAAACAAGGTGTAGGTGTTACTTGGAATTTCGTTTGTTTCAAAGCGATGTGATCTAATATACTAACGCTGATCAGTGGCTTAATCAATGACGTAATTATTAGGAACTTTCTAGACCTTTTCACAATGTAACTGATCAGATTCTGTCCGATTGTATTTGGTATAGTGCGGAATCGGAGATTTTCGTACCACTGAGCGCCCCTCTATTTACATTACTATAAATACCAGGCATTAGGCCAAGTTTCAGTTTAGTCATGTATATGTACTAGCTGTCTAAGCAGTTTTCTGTAGTTGCAAGATCCTATAAAAACGAAATCACGGAGGAATACGTCGGTACTTAGGCCTCGATCCTGACAGTCTCCATATGAATTCCTTCTTGAATGTCTGTTGGCTTCAGCGATTGAACAGCAACATGCTCAATAGTTGAGGAATTGGCAACATGTGTTGAATTATATTTGTTAGCTAAATTTGCAGACGGCTCTTTATACCTCCTTTGCGAAAATCTCACTCGAATTTTGTGCTGAACTATCTGATTAAATAAATAAAGAATAAAATAAAATAAAATAAGATATTGTACTAATAATCGTTTCCTGTCTGGTCTCATCTACTTAACTACAGTTAGATATTAATTTAACTTCTGCAAGCTGGCCTATCCGGCTTAATTCAGCCTCCTAAGCTATAAACACTTCCTTCCAGAAACGACGCACAAAAATAGAATAATAATTCTAGGTCAAAAGTGTATGAACTATAAATGGCGATAATAATAAAGTTTGACGCGTCCAATTGAGAATTGTGTTCCTAGTTAATAAGCCCAAAAATCGTAGACAATAAATTTTAATTAATTTATAGTTTTTATTGAAGCACAAATAATTTTGCTGTGACTTTGAATTGAATTTTTAATTAATCTATATTATACCAAAAATGTGACTAATACCCAACTAAACTTTACTTGACATTATAAATTATAACATGTTCCATATATAGTCAACTTCCCCTACAGTCACACCGTCGGGGCTAGGCAAAACTGGTGACTGTATGGAAATGTGACTGTATAGAAGGTTTGCATATGGTCCTGTGATTAAAATTATTTCTTTCTCTTTAAAACTATTTCCAAAGTAAGTGTCAATTTGTTATTGATGCTTTGATTGTTAATAGTAGATACTCTATAGAAAGTATGAATTTCTCATTAAACCAGTTTGTTTTTGGATTTTGTTTAACATATTCATAAATCTCATGTTCATTATCGAGGCTCAAATGAGGAGAATTAATGTGTGATGATTTTTAAAGCATAATTTTCAATCTTTTAGTCACTTTATGCTGGATATGGAAATATAAACACTAAACCTTGAATGTTACACAATACAGTAACTGTAAAGGGGGATTTTTCATATTGTTCCATAGTGGTGGGGATTCCAAAATCGGGTGACAGTGAATCACATATGATTGTGACTCTAAGGGAAGAAAATCACTATGAAAATGACAGGGACCAAAACAGCCTGTGACTGTAGGGGAGGTGTGACTGTATAGGATGTGACTGTAGGGGAGGTCGACTGTATATAGGATTATCTCTATATAATATATATATATATATATATATATATATATATATGAAACTAATTTACATTAAATCCACTATGGAACCAAAGAACTATATAGCACTATTTATATTAGAAGTATTTTAAAGAAAAAGCACACTTACCAGCAGCGGTTTGTTCTATAATAACGTGAATGTGTTTTTTGGGCAGGAAAGAAAAAGCACAAGATTAAATAAGTATTCAGTATTAATGGCGAATATGACACAATGTGGGCAAAGAAGACAAAAAAAATACACTATATCACGTTGACTAAACTTGTTGTAAATGAAAAGTAAACACCGGCTTAGTATAAATAGAAAAATTGTTACATTACTATGTCTACTCTATCCTATGTATACACTACTCTATGTCACCAACGCCCGAGTCACAAAGTCGTTACCTGTCTGTGGAGCAAAGTAATCGAGCAGGCGAGTTCGCATAATCGCATATTCTTCTTCTATAATAAGGTTATTATTCCATGCCTTGCTTAGTTCTTCGAGTCGTTCTGTCAAAGAAAATTTCATTCTTAAAAGTTCTACGTCAACCCTCGTTCGCGATTTGAGTTAGAGGTGGTTGCAAGTGATCTATCTAATATACTAATATTAGTGGCTTAATTAATGACGTATTACAAGGCAAACTCGATAAGACGAAAGTCGGGGGCCGGAAACAATTTATTCGGCTTATCGAGATTTTCGTTTTACCAAATTTTGCACTAAGCCGAATTTATATATATCATATATATTTGCACAAATTTCGACTTACAATTCAACAGTATAAACTTATTCATTAATGATAAAACGAAAGAATGCTTGTTTGCTGTAACGTTTAGTCTCAATTATTCTCTTAAGTTAGATAAGAAAGTAATATCAACGTCGAGTTCGTTGTCATAATCTTGACTAATATATAAAAGCAAAGAATTGACGCGCTCGAGAGCTGATTTATGAGAAATAGATTTTGCTATTGGAAAGTCCTCCGACTCCAATTATTCTCCTTCTATTGTTGCAATAATCGACTCAGTTGTCGGCATATCATGTACAGAGATGAAATCTTCCAAATTAACAAATTCTGCCACTTCATTCTAACGTCTTAGAAAATTGATCAACAAGTTTAATTAACTCTGTATTTGTTGATAAATTAACACCTTCAGTTTCGACGACTGCGATACTATTAGGTAGAACACCCGTTTTTTGCCGAGCATGTGTTATGGTCTCGGTGGTTACTTGGTTCCATGCGATTCCAATAAATTCGATAGCTTCACGAATGTTAGTTTGAGGAATAGCCGAAAGAGACTGGTTTTGAGCAATAGCATAAAGTTTTCGATATTGGCCTTTGAAACTAGAGTGAACCCTCCATATAAGCACGGCCTTGGGAATGGGTCAAAGCGTGCTATGGGTAGAGGGTCAGCATTTTATTGGTTGCACGTGACTGAACAGATATTTATTTAATCGATAAAGTAAAATATTATTGCTGCTGATTAAAAAACTGTCTATTGTCGTTTGTTTCATTACACTCGCTGACGATCTAATGCATATATTATTTCCTGGTTAATTTATTGTTTTGACGAGCATATAAACAGAGTTCATGCTTTTGAGAATCAGATAAGACTCCACTATAAGGGGTACACTATAAAGAGAGCCCCTGTGTAACACACTTGTATCACCAGCGACAAATATCATGCTATAATTATGGTACATAAGCTATATTGTATGGGCGCTATTGTTATCGATATTATCGATTATTAACTACCGTATACTACCGTGAATAAGTACCCATCGTGAATAAGCACCACCTATAAGTAAAATTTTCGATCGTGAATAAGCACCCCAAGATTACCTAGATTAAGTGCATGATGTGCCCCCCCCACCCACAGTTCATTACGTAAGTATACAAATCAAAAATTTTTATTTCACAATAATAGTATGCTTCTGGTTACTGCAATTACTGTTGTAAGCTACCCCTTAACGTTGTTGTGGATTATACTTTACGTAATGATTTGCCGATCATTTTAATAATGCCGATAAGAGTTGACGATCCTATCGTGAATAATTGTCCTCCTTTACAGAAATAATATATAGTTCCGGTCTAGAAAGTTCCAATAATACGCCATTGATAAGCCACTGATATTATTATTATCAGCGGTAGTATATTAGCGCGCAACACATCTAGTCAGACATGGACGCCGCTCAGTTGAAACAGGAATTTAAGAAGGCTAACGCGAAGTTAGATAGGTTAGAGGCTTTAAGGCGTGAAGTTGAGGAAGAGTACCAAGGGGAGAGGAACGTCTTGGAACAGCAAGAGACTTATTGGTTGGGAGAAAAGAGAAAATGGGGAGATGCTTTAGTTGCTGTTAGCACTCAGCCAGGTGTGACTCGGGCGTTGGGGACATAGAGTAGACATAGTAATATAAAAATTCTTCTATTTATACTAAGCCGGTGTTTACTTTTTTATTTAACAAGTTTAGTCAACGTGATATAGTGTTTTTTTTTTGTTTTTTTTTTTTTTGTCTTCTTTTGCCCACACCGTGTCATATTCGCCATTAATACTGAATACTTATTTAATCTTGTGCTTTTTTTTTTCCTGCCCAAAAAACACATTCACGTTATTATAGAGCAATCCGCTGCTGGTAAGTGAGTCGTAATAAATTCGTTAA